TCAATGATGATGGGACTAGCGACATTTTATGTGAGTTTTTTTTATTAATGACCTTTCCTTCTTCGGGGATTATAAAGCCATACCAAATCCCCTGCCTGGAATCCTACTGAGTTACCCTTAAGGTCGTAGCGTGTTTTCATTCTGTCACTCGCCACCCGGATCTTGTGGCGCACCGTTTCGTGAACGCTCAACAGCTTCTCCTTCAAGTCATCGACGTAATCTATGATCTCCTTTGGTTCTTCACTCGGAGAACCGAACAAGATATCACAAGGCAGACCAAGTTCTCTTCCGAAAACTATCCGCGCCGGTGTCTGACGCGTCGTGTCATGGACAGCTGATCGATAAGCCAGTAGGAACAGTGGAAAATGCCGATCCCAGTCTTTCTGATGATCGGCCACAACCTTCGTAAAGATGTTCTTCCATGGTACGATTGAACCGTTCTACTATTCCATCCGATTGCGGATGCAACGGGGTAGTCCGTGTCTTCCGTATCCCTAGTACTTCAGTAATCCTTTGGAATAGATTTGACTCGAAGTTTCTGCCTTGGTCCGAATAGAGTTCCATTTGGACCCCAAACCTGCTGATCCAGTTGTCAATCAGCGTTGTTGCAACCGTCGTGGCTTCTTGGTTCCGTATGGGATAAGCTTCGGGCCATTTCCTGAAGTAATCGCTGACGACCATTATGCACTTATTCCCGTCCTCGGTCACCGGAAAAGGACCTGCTATGTCCACTGCAATTCTTTCGAAAGGCGAACCGACGTTGCATTGTTGCATCGGCCCTCACACTCTAGTCCGTGGTCCCTTGACCGCCACACAGGTCGTACCTTGCACCAGCTCTCAACATCTTCTCGACAATGGACCCAGTAAAACCTCTCCCTAACTTTAGCAAGCGTCTTGTTGATTCCAAAATGAGCACCAGAACCACCGTTGTGCATTTCTCGAAGTACTTCCTTGGTTCTAATGGCCGGAACAACCAACTGCATGATGGTATGTTTTCCATCAGGACTCTCCCAAGCTCGCTTAAGCAATCCATTCTCAACACGTAGGGAGTCCCACTGAGCCCATAACGCCTTGAAAGAGGGTGACTCGTCTGATATCTCCGACCAAGCTGGTCGTTCTATCCCATTGTCTTTCCATTTGAGCAACGGCCCGATATTCACGTCCTCCTCTTGGTTTTTTCTAAGCTGGGCGGTAGTCTATTCTTCATCTTCCACAACTGCTGTCCTCCCACAGTTGAATGACGTTTCACGCTGCTCGATCTTGTCGCAGTATTTGCAGTTCTTATACGGTCTTCTCGACAAAGAGTTCGCATTATTGTGGAGCTTACCAGCCCTGTGTCGAATTTTGAAGTGATACTGTTGGAGTCGTTCAAGCCACTTGTCCTTTGGGATTTTTCATCTAAAGGAGCCATGTGAGGGCTGCGTGATCGGTTCTAATCAGGAATTCGCGTCCATAGAGATACTTATGGAAGTGTTCAACAGTCCTGACAATCGCCAGCAACTCCTTCCTCGTAGCCCAGTAGTTCTTCTCGGGTTTCGAAAGTACGCTGCTGAAGTACTCGATGACTTTTTCTTCCTTGTCCTGCACCTGTGACAATACAGCACCTATTCCGATATTGCTCGCGTCCGTGTCCAAGATGAACATTCCCGATGTTTGAGGATAGGACGGAACAGGACTAGAGCATAGTGCGTTCTTCAGTCTTTTAAAGGCTGTTTCACATTCCACAGTCTAGTTAAACTGAGACTTAAAATACGTCAGCCCGTGCAGAGGAGCAGCAATATCAGCAAACCCGTTGACAAACCTTCTGTAGTACGTACACAATCCCAAGAAACTACGGACTTCGTGTTTATCTCTTGGTCTTGGCCAATCGCAAATCGCATTGATCTTTGTTCCCGTAGTCTTGACCCCGCTTGCCGAAAGAGTATGCCCCAGAAATTCTACTTTTTTTTTGGAAGAGGAGGCACTTTTTCGGGTTCAACTTCAAATTTGCCTCCTTCATTCGGCTAAAGACTTTTTCCAAGTTGGTCAAGTGCTCCTCAAATGTCTTTCCCATTACCATGATGTCGTCTAAATAAACCAAACATGTTTTCCATGTTAACCCTCGTAATACCATCTCCATCAGCCTTTCAAAAGTAGCCGGAGCGTTACAGAGTCAAAAAGGTACTAGCGTAAATTGATACAAGCCGCTGCCGGCAGAAAAAGCGGTCTTTTCCTTATCTTCTGGATGAATACCAACTTGTCAGTAGCCGCTTTTTAGGTCTAACGTGGAAAACCAGGCGGATTCTTATAGGGTTGTGAACGTGTCATCAATTCGTGGAAGCGGGTAACTGTGCTTCATGGTTACATCGTTTAATTTCCTGTAGTCTACGCAGAATCTCGTCGATCCGTCTTTTTTGGTGACTAGCACTACAGGCGAAGACCGTGGACTATTTGACTCCTCTATGACGCCTTCGTTCAACATATTTCGTACCAGTTCCTCGGCTTCCTCTTGTTTCGCCAAAGGTAGTCTTCGCGGAGCTTGACGGATCGGTTGCGCGTCTCCAGTGTTTATCCGATGTTGCACTATGTTTGTGCGCCCAGAGGACTCTCCAGATGCAAACATTCCACTGTGTTTCTGCAGAAACTCTCTTGCTACATTCCGTTGATGATCGGTTAGATGACTAAGCTCTAGGGCAAACATTTTTGAGTTGCTTTTTCTTTCTTCGTCAGTGTTGTCAGGAACTCCTCTGTTATGATGAATTATCTTCGTAACTGGTTCACAGACGGCAGGAACCTCCACACTCTTGATGTTCCTGGATTTGGGAAAAACATTTGTGACGCGTACAGGTATGTCATTTTCGATATTGATTAAAGCACTAGCAATCATGAGATTCTTCTTGGGGGTGTGTGGTGGTTGAATAATGCCGAGGGCAAATCCGGGATCGATCTCTGTTCTAACTGGAACAATCGTCTCTGCATTCCCTTTGACTTTGACATTCTGGCACGCGATCAATCTTACAGGCTTGGATTAAATACTGCATTGATTCAGGATAAACTCTTCATTGCCAAGACGTAGGACTTTCTCCACTGGATCGACCGTCAATCCATGGCGGCTAATCAAATCCATTCCCAGAATGAAGTCATCTTCGATGCCAGCCACGAGAGCGCGATATCTTATCTTCAGCTGACCAATGTAGATTTCTACTTCTGCCTGGCCCATGATTGGCGCCGACTCTCCAGTGACTGTCTTCAATCTGATTTTCTCGGATGAAGTCGCTAGCTCTCACGAGTCCTCGCCGTATAATTGATACCTCAGCGCCAGTATCGATCGTGATTGCTGCGGGAGTTCCATTAATCTTCCCCGGTATGGTTGGACTACTGCCTCTGACGAAACTTGCTATCTTCACTTCCTTGGGGGCCTTATTCACACCAGCCAGCACATCCCTCAAAGTACTGGCTGTTTTTAGTTTTCCTGCAGATTTCTTTGAGGAGATCTCTGTCGTGTGCTTCTCCTCGGAGCTGGTGATCGAGCACGACAATCGCGTTTGAGATGTCCCTGGCGCCCACATCTGTAACACTCCATGCTTTTCTTAGGTGGCGCACCGTTCTCTCGTCCTTGGGCCAGGCCATTTATTATTTGGTGTGAGAACTTTTCCAACAGCTTTTCTAACTTGTCGTTTTCTTCCGTCTCTGTTTCTGCCACTCTGACCTTGTGCCAGACTCTTGAAAAGTTGTACGTCGCCTCTACTTCCAGCGCACAAATCAAGGCCTCCGATGATGTCTGGTACCTTGATAGTTGTAGGACCTTCTTAACATCACAGTCGCGAATGCCATTTACGAAGGTTACTATCGTAAGCGTCTCCTGAAAAGTTGGTGGTGCGTTGGTGTATGCAAGACGTACCAGTCTCTTGACATCTGCTTCAAATTCCTAAAGGGACTCTCCAACTTTCTGGGTTCTTGTCTTCACTTGAGCTGCAAAAACCTGTCTCAGATGTTCATCCCCAAATCGAAGTTCTAGGGCAGCAGTTAGGGCACTGTATCTGTTTCTATCTTCTTCGGATAGAGTTTGCAGTATCTCCAGCGCTGCGCCTCGCAAAGCTTTATCACCAAGGCTATAGCTTTCTGTTCTTTTTCCCAAAGGTTCGCCGTCGCTGCTGCCTCAAACTGCTTTTTGCACGATGACCAAGGTGTCTGAGCATCATAGGTGGGTGGTTGAATCATTCTGGGGACCAACGTCACATAACATGAACCAGTGGTTGCTGCATTTTTTATTGTGTTTTCAATTTTTTTCATTCGATCTTCTATGCATTCATGCACTGATTTTTCTAGCTCACTCTTCAACTGATGCTCCATTGCCATCATATTTCGTCCGACAATATTTTCCATATTTTCCAGATTTGTTTTTACGTCCTTCATTTCTGCTCTGATTTCTTCTATTTCATTTTCGTTTGCTTTCACTTCCTTTTGGAATTTTTCACTGCTGGTGATTATGTCATCTTTTTGCTTGTCTATTTTTGTGTCCATTATTTCCATTTTTCCGTTCACTTTTTCTATTGTTCCATTCATAATTTCATCTCTTGCATCCATTTTTGGTTCATTTCTTCCATGCTTGTGCCCATTTTTTCAATTCTTGCGTCCATTTTTTCGTCCATTTCTTTGTTTCTTGCCTCCATTTTCTCGTCCATTTGTGCAAGCATAGCGATGATCTTTTCCTCCACTTTCGTAGCTTGAGCTCTCGTCTCGATATAAATTCTTCAAAGCTCTTGTCCGATTTGCTCAGATGTCGTCGTAATAAAACCGGTTATTAATTTCAGATCTCACTTCCGACACCAGTGTTACGTTTGACGGGCGAATAATAATTAATCGGGCGTAGGTAAAAACTCAACAATTTATTTCTTTAACTCGAATTACTCTACTAACGATTTTTTTTTTAATTAGCGATAACTCCGCAACTTAAATGCATTCGCTCATTCGACTCTTGACTGAATTATGAATGAAACATTCCCGACGGTGGCCTCTATTTAATCCATATTTCGGCGATCCAGCTCTTTCTCGAATTGGGTATTCGCGACTTCCACTTCCAGGCTTTTTGAGCGCAGCTTCGAGACCTCTTCTGGGCCCGTCGCGGCATCCGCTTGTATCCGCGCGGCCGATGAGTCAGACTACATACGAGAAACAACACGTACATACTAGAAGGCACATAAGCGTCGTACCGGGGCGGCGTATGGGCTTATTTCGTAACAATATTATACTCTCATACTTGTATTTTAATTGTTATGTTTGAACATCTTTCTTTTTTGCCACATAAGAATGATGTTATGAAAGAACAAAAATTGTGATTTTTGCAAATATAATAAACTTATTGCTTTTTCAAAAACAAATAGAGATAATTAAAAACTTCTAAGAGCGTTAAAGGTAGTCTTACTACTACAACAGCGGGGTTTTTTATAACTTAGAACGCGACAAAACCTACGTTTGTTGTGTGACGAGCCGTCACTAAATTCGTTCACGAGAAAATTGTAACTAAAAAGACTAATAACAAACCCTCAAAACATAACTAGAAAATTTGCAAATCTTAATTAATTAACACGCATGTTCTAATCGGCATATAGTACCATTCAAATAGATAAACAAAATCAACCATCAATCCCCAAATGCAGGAACAAAATTCGCGTATTCGCGAATTGCGATTAACATTGCGCTTGCCAGACATTGCAAATAACTTGTACAAAATAATACGCCAGAAACATCGCCAATCGCAATTACTTTCATATAAAAGTGTATCCAAACTAAAACAGCTGCAAACGAAACCCAGACACATAAACAACCTCAGAAAAAACCGCCCTCTTTAAAAATAGCTACAACAAGCTAACCACATGTAGCGATGACGACATGAAAAGCATGACGCAAGTTGAAAAAACCCGAAAATATACGACACAATAACCAATAAAAAACGTCAACCGCGGAACCATAATTAAAAGCTAAACCCTATATAACAACGAAATAAAACCTAAAATCCCGTACCGAGTAATACACTAATCATGAAGAAATATAGTCCACTAAAGTCACGGGAGACAAGAATAATGAGTAAAAATCCCTATATAAGCAGTAGCGCCGAAAACGGTTTAAGAGAGTAGAAGTAGAAGTTTCCAGTTGCCGCCGAAGGCTCTGTCCAAACCGGTGTCGAGATTTTATTAATTTTTTGCTGAATTTTGAAGAAATCCGAACTTAGAAGAATTTGCTGAGCCCGAGAGGAAGATAGAAAAATTCTCAATGCTGCAGCTGTGTAAGTCTACCTTTTAGTCATTCTTAGTTTATCTTGCTTTCCGTTTTTCGTCATGTGTTCTCGAGTTCGAATCGTACATGTGTAGCGTTTAATTTATGCGTTTTCTTCGTTACGTTGGGTGTGAACAGTTAGCGCCGGCACAGAAAGTAATCTTTAGTGCTTCCATATGTTCCCGTTTGCAGGTGGCACGTTTATTAGCCTTGCGTCGGTTCTTGATTATTGGGGAGGATTTTTCGATAAATTACCGTTCGCTTTTATGATAATTATTCCAATATTTCTGTAAATTGCCAATTTAACTCGACTGCTTGCGACATAAATATTTTATATGCGTTTTTGGAGAGGATTTTTCTGATTTTTTACCGTTTGCTTTTATGATAATTATTCCAATATCTCTTTAAATCTGCCGATTTAATTCTTTGCTTGCGACATGAATATTTTATGTGCGTTTTGGGAAGTTCCCGAATTGAAACCTTTTAACCTAATTTCCTTGCTGTCGATTATTTTATATTGAATTTTTGCTGTTTAAATATGACTCCGTTCTCTGATTATTTTGCTATAGTATTTGGAAACCTCACATTACATTTTATTTTAACCGTCTCATTGTATTTTAGCGCATTTATGATACTAATGTCCCAATGTTTAACTGCATGCATAAATTATAACTGTTTATTTTTACATGTATCTAACTGTCCTGTAACCATCAATTTTTCTCGTGAACAATTGTTGTGCTCGGCATATTTAGCTAATCGATGTATGTAAAAACTCATTTATCGCTCTTTTTACATGTTTATATTCATAAGTTGTCGTAGATTTAAGTGCATGATTTTTACCCGTTATTTTAGTTGTTCTCATGATTTAATTAATATATATAAATGCCCAATCGCAATTTATTAAAATAATTAAGTAATGATTCCATTTAGTAGTCAGTAGTTTATTTTTTTTTGGTTATTTATCATGCTCGTAATATTAATGTTGTTTAGAAAGTATCGCATTTAATTAAGGATTTACCGAATTAATTTTTAGTGTTTTTGCATGCTGATTTTTTCTAGGATTAAGTTTATTAATTAAAAATGTGGGTTATGTTCATAGATTTTAAGAGTTTTATTAGTGGAATATAATTGCGTAGCGCTTTAGAAGATAGTTTTGCATGTTGTTTTGTTTTTTCGTGTTATGTGTGTGAATTTATTTTATGTATTATTTTTCTGTTGATTATTTACACATTTACTCGATTATTCTTTTGACATGCTCATAATGCTTTCTTTTAATATACGTATAAAAATGTTATAAATGTTTAATTATTACTTCTTCCCCTACATGCAGTTTAGCTCTTCCATTTCCAAGGAAATGGGCCTACACCCAAATAAATAATTTTGTTAGTGTCCAAAAGCTCGGCCGCGGTCAAAACTATTTGGGCACGACAGTTGGCAGCGAATTGACATGTGCGAAAAATAAAAATAATTTAAGACTTACTTTATTTCAACGATTCTTCCATTATCACAAATTATATTCTACTTTATACAAGCAATAATTACGGATTATTTAATTTCCATGTGTGCTAAAAAATAGTTTTAACTTATCGTTAAAAATAATCGAGAAATTGTTCTATTATCCAAAACCTACGCATTTGTAATTGGTTAACAGGATCTTTGCTCAAGCGCTTTTAGAATTTTAAAATAGATTGTCTGTAAATTTTCATTACTGATGTTTTGCGTGATGTTTTTTCGTATATGATTGAGAGATTCTTCAACAGAACTTTTGAAGATATCTTTCAGATTTAGTTCTTCAAATAAGTTTAAAACGGTTGTTACTGCTTCAGGATCTTTGGAACCATAACACTGTTTCAACGTTTCTATCTGATAATGATTTGCTTTTTTCATTGCCATTACAGCCAGCCATGTACATTTACCTTCTTGAATGTTTGTTCCCTTTTTACCACTTGTTTCTGGGTTACCATAACAGTCCATGAAGTCATCCTGAAAAATGTAATTGTCTTTAGAAAGAGTAGAAAAAATCTTTCCATATATTACATGTTGCATAGTTTCGCAAACTGCCTGTACAACTTACCTGTACCTGATACAGAAATGTCAAATCTTTAGACAAATCTTCCGACTTTCTGTGGAGTTCCATATCATATATGTTTGCCATATACATAGCTAAAGCTATTGGTAAATAAAAAGTGTAAAATCCTGTTTTGTGTTCAGCAATACATTTAAATCTGTCCATCGTGAAAAGTTGTAGTTGGGATTTGCCGTCCTTGACAGACATGCAATCCGCTGCTTGTCCCATACCAATTCTCAGAGTAATGTCATGGAACAACAGCATCGAGGGTAGATAACAGTGATGATTTTTAAAATATTTTCTGAGTAATATGTAAGTTCCTTGTTCAAGAAGCAGTGCATCATTAGTTGCTTTGAAGCCGATATTTTCTTTTCTGTGCCAGCAGAAGGAGCCCCGTCGCATTACCCCTTCGTCAATGATGTCGTCAGCTATAAGAGAAGCCGAGTGCAGCTAAAAAGAGAATATTTCAATGTTATTACTTCAGTCTGTGTTGATTTACAAGGCACAGATTTTAGGCTAAAGGAACTGTTTTCATTTTTTAAGACACGTTAACGAAGTTTGGATATTATAAATAACTTTGGGTGAAATAGAAGAATATGAGCATTATTTCTTTTCGGCTAAACTGTCAAAAATCTATCTTAAGTGCTGATTGCGTCTTTATTTTTTACACTTTGTTCTTACATAAAAACATCACCTGACGCGTAACAAATGGACCAAAAGTCCTATTTAAGAGGAAGCAAAATGCGATAAAACTTGATTTGAATTTTGATTTTTGATTTCTTCGCATAAATGATTAATAAAATAATATCATACTAACTACACTAGTTCGGGCAGAATGTGGTGTCGAATGCGATCCATTTTTGTTTAAACCATCGCCCTCTTATAAAATTACAATAAAAAAAGTTAACACTAAAAGTTAAGACGTACTTCAAGCACAGCTGCTATGCTGTTCAAGAATCTGCGTGTTTCCAATTCTAGATTTTCTTCTCCGCATTCCCAAATCTCTACCCCAAGCGGAGGTTTTACATCCCGCTACAAGTGCGAATGCCTACGTTATTAAACGTTTTTTTCTTAAGGGACGTCTGTTATCAAAACTTTAATGGTCTAAAATCCAACCCGCAATTTAAATCTTGGATTTAGGAACTTTTTGTTTAATTCTCCCCGTAAAATCTGGCGGAGGCAAAGAAGAACGAAGAATTTTCGTTGTTTCTGGTCCTAATAACCAAATAAACTCAACTTACCAATTCCAAAGCCCAAGCCATGATCATTGCTAATTTACGATTTTCCGGTGTAACATTCTCTGGTTTTTCAAGAACTTCGTAAGCTATGAATGTAATGAAAGCCCTCAATTTTTTACCAAAGGGGGTGAGATAACGAAGAAGTTCGTCGTAGCGTGTATTTGCTTCAGCAAAATGTGGGTCTATAGTGTTATTCGTTAAGTCGTTCACGACCACAGGGAACAAATCCAAAAACTCTTTTTCTTTCTCCGCGTTAACTAAACATTTACTGTTCCATGCAGTTCCTGGTTGAGACGAAATTCTAAAAATGCATGCATGTATCTAAACAATTATGAGCAGTAAACTCTTCATATTTAGGATTTTTTGAAGTTCAACTTCAAAATTTTAACCAGAATAGAGGCTTAAATTAAAAGTGTATAAACGCCAACTTTTCTACGATCTGAGGTAGAGAATTAGTCGGATGGCCAGAATTATTCAAAAATAATAAAAATTCGGTCAAGCGGTATATTTATTTATGAGCAAAAACAAAAACGTTGGTATTTTTACGTTTTTGTTCTAAGGGTTTATTAATCTTTTACCTGTCTAAGCTTATTGCATTTGATGTCTTCATCGAATTTTGATTTATATTTAACCAACGGGTTTGTGTTGCAGCTATTTGCCGTGTGCATAATTTCCAAAATTGCATCTTATTTTTATTAAAAATGGTATTTATTTGCAAAATCATCACGACACGTAATAGTTTGAATGATATTGATTTGACACTTAAACACAACTAAGTGTTTACTTCATTTTAAATCGATTTAATACATAGATTCCGGTTAATTACTTTAATTATTATTGTATTCAACATACTAATAGGAATACTAATTAAAAATATTCTAGTGAACATGTTTATTGAAACGTATACAGGTTTTTAAACTGCAACCTTCAAATGTCTCGAAATATAAGCGCTCTGCAAAAAAAAGTACACAATCAAAACTTAATCATACCGCGCCCCCCCTCTCCTTGCAGGTGGGGCAGGGGTTAACTTTGAAACCTCAAATGGGAACTGCTATTTTTTATTGCAGATTTGAAGTCGACGGCAAAAAATACGAGTGATTTGTGTGAAACATTTTTTTCGATTCGTGATGGATGGCGCTGAATGGACGAAAAACAAATTTTTCGATTTCTTCTACTGAGAACGTATATATACGATTCTGGAATACGTTGGCAATAAAAAATACTAGGTTTTATGTAAATAGTCGAAATTCGAATAAGTTGGAAATTGGTACCTGTAGAAATGTAAATAACTGGCGAATAAACTACTTTTAGCGTAACCCAGGAACAACGATGTGGACGGGTGCTTAATTTACATAAGTCCCCTCACCACATCATCTTTCAATTAAGTAAGTGCTCAAAATGATGACATACTGCTGAATTTCGGCACAAGAATTTCTGATTTGCGCACCTATACTCTCACGTGTTGTTGGTGTTCTGGACAACCATCGTGTTCGACCTAAATATTCAGATTTCTAAGCTCAAGTTTTCTAGTAATGTTGGCAGTTCATTTTCCACAATATCTCGGTACATTTCATCATTCAAGTTGCCTTCAATAATGAGGCGACTCAATTTTTATTATTACAATGAAACCGTAGTATTGTTTTGTATAATTGTATGCATAGATTCTCTGTAGGAGAAATCGAAAAAATTGAATTTCGTTTATTACAGGGTAATCTGTCATAAATCTAAAAAAACGTTTTACACAAACCCTGTAATAAAAATTCGGGGTTCCTATTTACGATTTCAAAGTTACCCCCCGCCCCTATCTATAAGGAGGGAGCGAGAGGGACTAGTTTTTTAACTAAAGTATTTCACCCATGGAATGATTAAATTTTGAATCTAGACTTTTTTATAAGGTGCTTATTTTTCGAGATATTTGATTTTCACGATAAAAAAAATCGCCATGTATAGTGCAATAATAATAATCATCATTTATTTCCAACGAGTTTACACGCAATAACAGGTATTTCTAACAACTTAAAAAAAATAATACACGTGCGTATACTAAAATAATAATGTTACAATGATCTGTAGTTAAAATCGGCATGGGTAAAACTCAACAATTTATTTAAAATTAATACAAAATTACACGACTATCTATACAGCGACTATGTACACAATAATTCCGATTGGAATGGATTTGACTAAACTCAACTTTCCTCATTACTGGACTTCACTTGTTCCCGAAGCCGGCCTCTATTTAAACCCATACTTCGTTTCAAGATAAATGATATATATACATCAAAGGGACCTTTTGCTTCTTTCTTTCATTAAATTTTTGTCTCTTAGTATTTTGTGAGGAGAATCAATAGCAACTTGTAATTTTACGGGAAATCGATGATGTGTTGGATAAATTGCATCCTTCTGGATTAATGAAATATGCAGACCAGGAAAATTAATCAGGCCAGTAATCACTTACTTGGCGAGGCCATCAGTCGAGCAGTAAAGCGAAGGTAGGGGAAGCTAGGCGTAGAGGTTCTTCTACTATGAGAAGATGGGTTGTAGCTGGGCCGAGGCTAGGCGCCGCAATCTAGTTGTTCTTACACGCACTCACTGTATTTTTGGACCGATTGATAAGGACTAATTTTTGAACATGACAATGGCATGAAGAATGAAAAGGAAACATTTCTTATAATTTTGCCACCGGAAAAGACGAGCGAGAAGAGTGCATAAAAATGTATTTGATTAGTCCGAGGGGTGGACAATAAGTGCTGCCCATATTTGGTAATGGAATACATTCGTTTATGATGTTCGAGGAGGACCATTTGATTGAGATCCGCGAGCTCCTACAGGAGATCGTGTGAAAAGGAATTTCTCAGGTAGAGCAAGTGAATGGCTACCCGGAACCAAGCGGGATTGGTCATATCTGTTGCTGTATTGGGGACTTACAGTTGGAGGTTCTCATTCTCACCCTGCGATATGCACCAACACCAAAAGGAAACCCTTGGTACTTGTCCAGCGACCATTCGAAGTCGAGCCTAACATAAGCCGTTTCGTTGTTGTTCTATGAGAATCTATATCTTCAATCAGCTCGGCGGCTATAAGTTTGCTGGATATACAGGAAGAAAGAAATGCAGAAAATGTGTGGCAGCCTTGGACAGGCAGGCGGACATCTGGGGTGTGCCTCTTCATAAACCCTGGATATTCGGAAGGGTGGTATGAAACCTATGTTTATAGAAAGGATCGGTTATTACTGGTCGTTTCGAATGTAAACTCAGGGCATGCCACTATTTAAAGGCACTCTGAGGTATTTAATAATTTCTTTGAGTTTTTTTGCTCAGATTGGTTGTGAATCGAGGGTGGAATTGGTGTTAAAAAAAATTCGAGATTTTTTAGTATGTGTTTATTACTATTGTTACTTGGGAAGACATGGGTCTTACCATGAACTGGCGAGAGCGTTCTGTTATTTGGAAATGAAGAACTCAGTTCGCTATATCACGAAATGGAGGAAGCTGTGGCCGAAAAATTGTAAATTTTAGGACTTCAGCTGTCATTGAAGATCACACGCCAAAAATATTCTCAGGTTACAATGGGTGGTATGAATAAAACTGAGTAGATGCTCATACTCTAACTACGAAGTACCTACTAGTATTAGCGAGTATCTATTCTTATATACCTAGGTACCTGAGCATTCTCCATCTGCTTGGTATTAAATATTAGCATCAGCTAGAAAAACTAGAAACATTTTGAGTAGATACTCAAGTAGATACTTCGTACTTCAAGTATGAGCATCTACTCAGTTTTATTCATACCACCCAATATTTTGGTCGAGGGGTAAACCGCAGAGGAAATCAATTGTACACGCTAGAGGAAATCAAAGGAAATCACAGGAAATCAAAAAGGGAATCAGAGGAAATCAAAGGAAATCACAGGAAATCACAGGAAATCACAGGAAATCACAGCAAATCAAAGGAAATCAAGAGGAAATCAACGAGAAATCAAGAGGAAATCAAAGAAATTAACGAGAAATCAACAAGAAAACGCGACTTCTCAAAGCGATGCGTTTAAATTCTCGCCTACCTATTTCATCCGACGAAAATCATTTGAATAATTGAGAATGGTACCAAATGGGTTTCAGTGACAGCGATCTGACGTCGCATGTCCAAGACACTGTGCATATTATCACAAAGTTAAGAAAAAAGTTTTTAAAATCAGACTCAATATTACCTCTAGGGAATTACGTTGCTACAGTTGCTCACCTTGAAATATTCGTAAAAAATTACACCAAAGATCAACATATGCTAACAATAACGGATTTGAAAGCAGAAGATAAAGTGAACTATGCAGCGGCAGAAAAAATGTGTAGCCCGGAAGTGTAACCTTAGAAGTTTTGATAGTGACGATAATTTTGTTGAGAAAGATGATCTAGTCAGAATACGCTTAGATAATACAACAAAAGTTATAAAAAAGTCTTCACTTTGCTGGCTGTTAGACAATGAAAAGGATCGCGTCAGTGTGGATCTTCTCAAAAGATTTATTCAAAATAAGAAATGTAATAGTAGTAGAGTTAACTCAGAAACAGATACCTGCCTTCAACATAAAGATGCATCTCAAATTCAAAAACCAGTCCAAATTGGAAAACAAAAAAGACGCTATAATATATCAAGTGACTCATCTGATTTAGACAACCCAAGTAGTATCGAATATGATGACAGCACGGACACCGAAAGTTTGAATTCTTCCAATTATTCTGATGATTTGAATCCTCGTTTGAATCTCAAGTCTGAAAATAGTAAGACTGATCGTTCTAAACCAGACTTAAATATAGACGATTATATTATAGTACAATTAACCACTCAAAAACAAAACAAAAAATGTTACATTGGTAAAGTGTCAAGTTATCACTCAACCCTGTTTTTTGTGATTTTTTGAAAAGGAATCCAAAAATTACGGATGCTTTTATGTTTCCGGACATTAAAGATCAGGGGAAGATCCAAGAAAATGAATATATATTGAAACTACCTCCACCTCAGGTACTCAGAAGAGGCAGTATAGTTTTCGAAAAAAAATTATTGAAAAAATATTTGATTTAATTCTAGTTTTTTTTTAAGTGATGTGATTAAAATTTGTGATAATGTAACCTCAACCTGGGTCGAGATTTGTACAAGTATATATCGTAGAGAATACTAAAGTAAGAAACTGTGCAAAATTCTAGGTGCCCATGAACACTTTTAAAGGGGAAAATTAGCTCTGAAAATTTATCAAGTGGGGTTATCCACTCCTTTATTGTGCAAAAAAAAAATTCTTACGTGTTAAATTTTGCATTTCAAAAGTTTTTTTCTAATATGCTTCGTTTGAAAGTTGTGAACAAAATATTAAAATTGTTATCATCTGTATTTATGGGTAGCTAGAATTTAGCACAGTTTTTTACTTCAACATCATCTACAATATATACACAAATCTCGACCCAGGTTATAGGGTAAGTATTTTTTAAGAAGTTGATTTATTTTGTGATATTTTGTTATGATCCAATGGAATTGCTTTACTTTTATGTTTAGAGTTACCGTTTTTTTTAACATTTAATAAAGTAAATGAAACTACTTGTTTTTTCTGTTTATGCTACCATAATAAATGAATAAACCCAATTTTTAAAAAGTAATGACTTAAATTATTATTATAAGTTTGATTTAATAGGTCAAACTTTAACATGATCTTGTATGCGCAATACAGAGATGAACCTAATAGAATGATTTTGGGCTATTTGGTATTTATTAATTACCTCTGTGAACGTATGAGCCAGTCGTTATGAGTCGCTGATAAGTAAAAACTGCTGACGTAACTAAAAATATCCTTGGCCTTATGTACTTTTAATTTCGTAAAGTCAAAAGCAAAATTTCATGATATAATTTATTAAAAAATTAATAATAATATATAATATGATTTATTAAATATTTGAGTGATTTAAACGAACTAATTTGTACACACCAGACATTTTTAATTTCAAAATTAAAATAGACCATAATTGCATATGTCCCCTTTAATACAAACATTTGACCCAAGAAAGTGTAAAATTCGAACGTATACTTACTCTATTCATTTAGGGGCCAATTTCAAGTTCGATTTACAATTTCGCAAGACCCCGTTGCCATGGAAGATGCGATGACAGCAGTCGCGAGGACGAATCATATCGCGTATCGCAACAACTGTCATCGAAATTAACATAGCAACGGCAGTTGCGATTTCGCAAATCCAACTTGAAATTACCCCCTTAGACATCTAAAACCTCGATTTCAGAGTAGCGTTCTTTTTGTAAGTAAAATCAGATTTTTTTTTGTTGTTTGTTGCTTAGCAACACAATACATTTTATTTATTTATTTTTTTCGTCTAAAGGGAAAGCACTTCAGCTTACCTAGTAAACACTTGGTAAAAAAAGGTTTAAATTCAACATCATTATCGGCAAAACAAAAAAGTCAAGTTAAAAAAAAAGTTAACAATCGCCCTGTAGTACATTATGTAAACAAATTTTGAGGAAATCAAAAGGAAATCATAGGAAATCAAGAGGAAATCACAGGAAATCATAGGAAATCAAGAGAAAATCAAAGGAAATCAAAGGAAATCAAAGGAAATCGAAGGAAATCACAGGAAATCAAAGGAAATCAGAGGAATTCAAAAGAAATCGGGGGAAATCAACAGGAAATCATTGTCAAAAGGAAATCAATTGTACACTTGATGGTCGGCGGTTTACCCCTCGATTTTGGTATAGTGCAGAGGTGCAGATACAGTGCAGATATATGTTAGGAATATCGTATAGATGGAAAGACGCTAAACAAAATTTGTTCGATTATCCCCACCACCACTGTAATGGCGTCATCTCAGAATTTACAATAGTAAATGTTATAAATTTTATAAACATACATGCACTTGTGCATTTATTACATGTATCTAAATGGGAGCCCAGATTAATGTCTCATTATTAATTATTTATAATTATGTGTCTGCAACGCCATTCTCTTAACTGGTACTTGATCTTTTTCTGTGAAATTTTTCGTTTGGGTTTTGAGCATTCAAAATACACAGAGAAACAGATATTTCATAAGAATCATCTGCAAATACATGAAATATAACTATGTTGTAAGCCTTATCTACAATCACAAATAAGATTTAACCTCACAAGAAAAAAACACGCTTTTAAAAAAAAGAATCCATCTAAACAAATTATTTAAACAATACTTTCAAGTATTGAACATTTTTCTTGTATTTTGGGATGTGAAATCTTTATGAAATACAAAGGTACTTGGCGTACTTGGCGTACTCTGAAATACGAAAATTTCTTGTAATAGTGAATGAAGAGATAGGTAAAATACCTTCTTTTACAAAAAAAGCAATCCAAGTACCAAGTATTCAAGTAAAGTACCATTTTAAATTTGTACTTTTAGTTCAAGTACCGAACTCTTAAAACTGCATAAACTCTTTTTAGTCATGCTCATGATAAGATAATACCCGATGACAAGCGTTTACCAGTACTTTATCGCTCTTGCAAGCAAAATTAAACAAAACCACAAAAAATAGAATTTTCACAATATTAATATCACAATGACCACAATGGCAAAGTTTATCAAATGTTAAAAATTCAACAGATTAACAGCAATAAATCACAATCAAATGTTGATACCACAACGTATAGGTAGCGTATTAAACCAAGACAATATTTTTATATTGCACAAAGTTTTTTAAACAGAATCCACATGGTTTTGCCGCTTCTGACTAAGACGGAACCAATTTATAACACTTTTCCATTCACATTGAATTCCAAAGGTGCTTCAGTCAGTATCAAGCAGAGACCTTCGTCATGACCAGCGCTTCCCCTTGGCTCGCTTGCCACCCCCTCGGCGAATACATAACTCCCTGTAACTTGGTCAAGCAAAGCACTCAGTGGTATCCAGAACACCATAATTCCATCATCATAGTTAGCCCTGCATCTTCACTTGTGCTGGATGGGAGTCAGAATCCAACGCAACTCCAGGAATATACAGGGAGTCCGCTTCAATTATGGCGCTTTGAGCGTACTGAAACGGGCAACTTCTTGATAAAGAATGTTGGTAGTCAGTAAGTAAAAGAGTAAATATGTGTTTAGGTGTTATATGTATATTACTGTTTTTGTTAGGAGATACTTGCAAATACAGGGCGACGGCAAAAATTTTAACGGAATAGTCACTGAGCCAAAAAACGGGGAACCGAATCAACAGTGGCAGTATAATCATCCGGACCAAACTATAGCCAATCCAGCTAGTGGTAGAGTGTTAGATATACCCGGACTTAATTTTACTGCAGGGACTAAGATAATGCTTTATGACAAAAATGCTGGAACTAATCAGCAGTTCTCCCTCCAATTTAAATAATTTGATTAAAAACAGAGCAAAAATTGGAACTACTTGTATTTTTACAGTTTACCAAAATTCTAACCAACACATGCACTGAGCGTTTGTATTTAAAATATCAATATATCACATATTCTCGAAACTAAAGTTTTATTTCTAAGCCTTCATCGTAAAGTAATGGTTGAAAAAAAACTTAAAGTTTTGTGCTCAACAAAGTTCTCAATGTTCTCTTAGCATAAGAGCCAATTTTGCTAAAATATTTCACCAGTAACCGTTCGCTATTTGTCTAAGAGGTACTCATAGACCTGCAAATATAGCAGTCCTCAAACCAAAAAGCCATAATTTTGGAGTTATCTTCAAATAACTTCTCCTTGAAACCATTTAAATATTACTTTCGCTTCCTATTATTTTGAAAAAAAGGAAGGTTCAAAAGAAACAAGTTTTTCTGAACTCATTCGGAAAATTTGACGAAAATTTATGAGTAGAAATAAAATTATGTACAATATGCTTGAATCTCTCGTCATACGATTAAAAGAAAGCGCATATGAAATTAATTATTCAGGGTAGACTTTTAAGTAAAATTTGACTTGAATAAAATAAAAGGATAATTTTAAAATATTTAAAATGCTGCCGTTAACTACCACGAGGATATGAATGGTATTATCGACTGGATTTTATTTAACTAGACTGCCCACTCCCGATGATAATCCCTTTTTAAACCACCACGTGTTCCTTCTGGAGAGTTCGGACTCTGCTTCGACGATGTTCTGGAGCGTCTAATTAGACTTCCGGAAGAACCGCTTCTAGGCTTCTCTTTTCTCTGAAATAATTAATTTAAATTTAGATTTAACTTCGTAAATGCGGAAAAATAAAACTGCAGGGTATTTGTTTATTTCATGTGCGTTTATTATAGGTATAATTCCATAATTCCAAATTTTAGAATTTCATTTCAAGAACTCCCGCCAGCGGTGAAGAGCAAAAAAGGTGCAGATATAGAGCATACTTCACATAAAAATATCTGGGTACTGAAATTTTTCTGAGTTTTCAGCTGTGAGATTTTAAATATTAATACTGGTAGTAATAAACAACCCAGCTTGTGTGTTACTAACTGAAACTTGGTTGTCTTCTCAAATTCCTGACGCTTCGTTAGGGTTAACAGATTATAATGTTTATAGAACTGATCGTAACGGAAGGGGTGGGGGCGTTTGTGTTCTGCTTAATAAGTCAATTTTCCAACGGTTTAGGGTGTCCAGAGTAAAGTTTGAGATTCCGCAGATTGAATCCTTATTTTTACAACTTTGGAGTAAAGAATTTTCTTTTTCTCTTGGATGTGTATATCGACCCTCTGGTACTTTGATACCGAACGATATTATATTGATATCTGAACTTAGACGATTAAGCGAAGCTCATAGCAATTTTATTGTGACTGGAGATTTTAACTTTCCTTGTATCAGTTGGCCTCTAAAGTCAATTTCTGCAAATCACAGTAGTTCTGGTCAGACCATGCGGTGCTAGAGTCCTGACAACATTACTTGTAATGTGTTAAAGAGTTGTGCCCATGAGATTGTAAAACCATTGCTTCACATAATGGAAAGGTCATTAATCGATTCGCGTTTATAGTATTTCCACCGATAAATTAGCTGACGGAAAAAGTTACCAAATAGACCGCTATAAAAAGTAATGCCAAAGGCGCTTTATTTGAAATATAAGGAGATTTCAAAATAATGTTGAACTACGTAAAATTACTTTTCATAATAACACAATTTATTTCCAACAGACAATATTATCTATACTGGAACATACACTTCGAATAACATTACGTACTTTATATTGAAGTAACAACCTCTGTAGGGCATCTTAAATTAAAATTTTCCTTCTTGAAAAATGAATACGCATTGGCAATCATTTTCTGTGGCACGATGTTGTCAACAACAGTCATACTGCACCGGGTTGAAGAGGGCTACAAAATATAATGGTATATAATGATTGCACAGAATAAATCAACAAGTCACTCTTGCGTAATTATGAATTTTATTCGTAATGCTTCCATGAGGTCCATATGAAACGTTTTTTGACACAAACAACTTAACCTAAAATGTCCAAACTTCAGCCACTATACCAAAAACAGCACAAAGGTCTATAATATCATACCTAACAAATCAAAACAAGTAAAAAAACACAAACACTAAACGCAAAAAACACACTTTTTAACTTTTTGAGCCAAAATTTTAAATTAACGTGAATTAGCTGATCGACCAAAACACACTAACACAGGTTAAACGAAACCGGCCGACTGGCGCAGGCATAGAGGCGTAGCAAATTCGTTGCGCGGGAAAAGGAACGTTAGTTGCCAACTTAAACTACAACTCTTTAACTGCTTTAAGCGTATAATGTTAGTATATTTTGGATTCTCCGGTTGGCGATTGTGAATTCAAAATTTTCCAATCTATCGCTGGAAATAGTATACCATCGGATTGGCTTAAAGCGTCTGTTACAGCTATTTTTAAGACAGGAGACAAAACATTAGCTTCGAACCATCGTCCCATAAGTCTCACATCTGTGTGTTGCAAAATTCTGGAGAGAATGATTTGTAAGCAACTGAGAGGGTGGGTACTTGATCACAAGTTAATTCCGAATACTCAGCACGCTTTTGTTCCAGGTCGGTCAGTCACTTCATGTTTGTTAAAATGTTTAGATGATTGGGGTTCACAAATCGATAACAAGAATCCTGTTGACGTCATCTACTTGGACTTTGAAAAAGCCTTTGATCGGGTACCGCATCTTCGTTTAATTACTAAATTAGATAATTTTGGGATTCGAGGCCCATTATTGAAATGGATCAGATCATTTCTTCATGGTCGTAAGTTTTACGTCAGAGTGGGCGATTCGGTATCCTCTGAACGGGTGGTTGTGTCTGGTGTCCCGCAGGGTTCTGTATTGGGACCACCGCTTTTCATCCTCTACATATCGGACTTACCTCATTTAATTTCATCAAATCATGCTTTCTATGCTGATGACTGTAAACTGTATGCCAATCCTATTCTAAATTATCGAGAACTGCAAACGGATTTAAATACTGTCTACCGCTGGTGCTTAGACTGTTTGATTCCGTTGAATAACGGCAAGTGTAAAGTATTGCACTTGGGTACCAACAACCTTAAACACATTTACATTACACTAGTATGGCTCCTTTAGAACACAACACGTTTTAATGCTTTTAGTCTGGTTTTCAAGCTAACTTTTGAAAAGTTAAAATTTTTAAAAAGTTTTTCGAAGTCATCCTTTTTTAAAAAAGTAAAAATTTTAAGAAATATATCCTGTTTTATCAAACGTGAATACGGTTTCGGCCAAGAAAAGTTACCATTTTAAAACACTTAAAATTTGTCTTTTTCCCTTGTTTTTAAAGTATATTTTACAATTAACATTTTTCAGACTTTCCCTTGTTTTTAAAAAAGTTAAAAGTTGAAGGTACCTACCTATTTTTTATTCAAACATAAATTCATGTTTTTTTAAAGTTAATAATACATTATATTTTCCACTAATGCAAAAAAAATGTTTCAATCAAAAAACCATATATATTATAATATTCATTACATTAGGATAGAGTTGATCTTCCTGAATCGCTCCCACTGGGACTTGGATTATTGCTATAAATGAATGAACAAAACATAAGATTATAGCTATGTATATGAACTTTCGCATCTGTGCCCTAAAAATGCAGTGAGTGCCGCAATAAATTCCTCCTTTCGGGTTGGATCTATAAATACGAGATTTACGTTTTCCTGCCCTGGAATAATTAGTGTGACTTCTTCAGGAAATGTGTCGTCAAACGTTTCAATATGAATGTCTTCGAGAAAGAAAAAAGGTTCGCCGTTAGAACTGTAAAAAAAAAATGCAGCATCTTTTTTTATGCAGACCGTTACGTTTTCCATCTGAGGGGACTGAGCCCCCTTTTGATATTTCACCACAAAGCTTGCCATTTTGGTCTTCACCAACTTTAGTTTTCGTCGTTCACAGGCAAACTGGCGAAAATTCGTTATCGTCTTTTTCTCTGACCAAATTTACCCCATACGGAATTTAAGCAGATTTTTGCAACAGCTCTCTTTCCAGAATTATTTTCGATTTTACCCAATTCAATACCTAGATTTTCTTTTACGGCTTTTCTATATTCTTCTTCTGTTTCAAGATCATTTCTCCATTCACTTGTCGATTTTTGTTCAAAATGTCAAACTTCATCAATAGTTATTATTTTGTATCCTTCTTCAGTTGCTTTTTTAACTTCGTTTGTACACCAGGTTCCTCTGATAATTCTTTGAGATTCCGTATGAGTACATTTATCTTTTTGATTCGATCTTCGGCTGTCATGAGTGGACGTAGTCCACGAATTATTTAATTTTGCACACGATTGACATAATGAAAATGTTAGTTTTTCATCGCCAGATTTCCTTTTATTTTTAACAGGTAAAACAGGGTGATACAAACCTCTTGGTGGTAAAATTGCACATTTTATTAAACCATACCATTTTGAATTATATGCAGGAGGTTTGAATATTTTAGTAGGATGTCCAACTGGATAATCATCATAACATTGTACTGTTGGAAATAAACTACAAATATCTATATATTTCATTTTCTTTCCATTAACTTTCAGTTTTGTAGCATTAGTTCTTCAATGTGGATTTAAGGAAATATAGTCTATTTTAATGACGCTGTAGTAGCAACAGAAGTCTTTATTTATACATCCTACACAACGTTACTTTATATTTCTTTTTTAGGCAGTAAAACTTCTTTACAATGAGAATAGTCTTAGTTTTAAAGTTTTCCTTAAAATTGTGACGAGCCGTCACTAAATTCGCTCACGAGAAAATTGTAACAAAAAAGACGAATAAGAAATCCCCAAAACATAACTCGAAAATTTGCAAATCTTAATTAATTAACACGCATGTCCTAATCTGCACATAGTACCATTCAAATAGATAAACAAACTCAACCACCAATCCCTGAACGCAAGAACAAAATTCGCAAATTGCAAATATCATTGCGCTTGTCAGACATTGCAAACAACTTGTACAGAACAATACGCCATAAAAATCGCCAATTGCAATTATTTTCATCCGAAATTGTATCCAAACTAAAACAGCTGCAAACGAAACGCAGACAATATAAAACCTCAAAAAACGCCTTCACAAACAGCTGCAACAGGGTAACAACATGTAACGATGACGACATGGGAACCATGACGCAAGTTGAAAAAACCCGAAGATATACAACACAGTAACCAATAAAAAACGTCAGCAGCGAAATCATAATCAAATGAAATTAAACCCTATAGAAAAGCGAAATAAAACCTAAAGTCGCGTTCCGAGTAATACACAAATCACGAAGAAGTAGGGCCTACTAATGTCGCGGGAGACAAGATTAATGCAAAAATCCCTATACCTATAAGCAGTAGCGCCGGAAGTGATATTCATTCAAGTTCCGAGTTGCCGTCGAAGACTATGCCCATTTTCGTACCGAGTTTTTTTTACTATTTGTGCTGAATTTTGAAGAAATCCGAATTTAGAACAGTTTTGCTGAGCCCCAGAACAAGATAGAAAACTTTCGATGCTGTGTCTGTGTAAGTCTGCCTTTATTCATTCTTATTTTATCTTGATTTCAATTTTAATTGCATGATGAATTTAGGATTAAATTTAAGTAGAGCCGTGGATTATGTTCATAGATTAATAGGTTTTTAATAAAGGAACACAATTTCGTAGCGCTTTAAATATAGTTTTGCATATTTTTAGTTATGTAAGTATGGGCCTACACCCAAATAAATAATTTTCTTAGTGTCCAAATGCTCGGCCGCGGTCAAAGCTATTTGAGCACGACAAAATCTCGTGTTCCACTTTCCCCTAATGATTAGATTTTCCTTATAAATCCAATTTCCTTCAGTTTGGAGCAGAATTTCAAAAAATCTTTCCCTTGTTCTCTCTGCATTCTACATTGTTCAAATATTTTACACATTTATTTTCTCATCTTAACATCCTTTCTTCTTAATATACTTTCATGAAAAATTTTCCTCACTTCCACTCATGCTTCCAAGATTCATAAAGCAAAAAATGGAACAAAATGTTGGTAACTGCGTATAAATCGGCGGAAAGAAGTAACTACTTTCAATTAAAATTTAAGTTCAAATATGTTTATACGTATAAATAAAACTGCGAGATATTTATTTTTGTATGCGTTTATTAATACAGTTACGGGAGGTATGCATAAAGCGTGGAATTCTACAATGTGTTACCCATAGCGCTCTGGAAGTTGTATTACACAATAATTCCAAATTTTAACATTTCAGTTGAAGAACTCCCGCCAGTGGTGCAGTGCAAAAAGGTGCAGATATAGAGCATATTTCAAACAAAAATCTTCTAAGTCATTTACTTTCCTTTAGGGGCGCGAGCTGTAAATTTTAAAACATTAATATTGGTGGCATTTTTTTTTTCTGATACGTACCTGAGACAGATGAAATAAGAAGAGCAATAGCGAGAACAGCACAAATTGCAGCATAGATTTTTTTAAACATTTTTTCAGTTGAAATAATCGACTTGGAGTTTTGATATTTTAACCAACAAGTATGTAGTTTTTTCTATAACAGGTCTTTATATACGGCCAACTACTGATTAAAATGAACAATTATCTATATTTTAACGCATTTCTGTACGATATTTTACTTTATAACAATAGTAGCAGCAATAATAATAGTAACTTATCGCCTAACTCATTATGTGCTTTTACTACGATAGGTTTTTGTTTTCTTTTTTTTATTTTCTTTTGAATATATTACGCGGTTTGTGCACTTGTCAAAAACTCCCATTTTCTTAAGGCAGGTTTAGTTAAAACGGATGTCCGTTAAGACTCAGAAATGGCGTTGTATGGAAATTATTGGGCTTAATTTTTTCCGTTACCTACCGAGAACTATGACATTTCGATCAGTTCATGCACTTGTCAAACACCTGTAAAATAAAATTTAATGAAGTGATTTCTTGATTCTTGTATGTCAATTCATCTAGTACTTTTGGAAATTCCGGATAAAATCTCCAATAGAACAGTTCAGTTCGGCCAAAACAGCCGTTTAATTTGTCTGTCTAGAGCCAGTACGGCCCTTCTTCCTCATCGTTGTTACCTAGTCAAAGAACCCCTCCATCGAGCTTTCTCCGACTATCAGATGGGTCTTATCGTGTAAGTTAGTATCAGTGACCCAATTAATTATACGTGTGTAGCATATTCTACCCTCGTACTTTATCGACCGATCAAATGAACTAGGAAGGCCACAACAACTCGCTGCTCTCCTGTATTTATCTATTATTATTATTACTAAATAATGTTAAAGACAATGTCTTTTACAGAATTTAAATATTTATTTCTAATGTTTGTATTAAAATATCTCTATCAGCTTTCAAGATATAAGTTAATTGTGCTGAAAATAACTGTGTGGTAGGTGTGAAAGTATTTTATCAAGTTTGCAACAGAAACGTATAATTATAAAAAAAAATTGACAAAGTAAACTCCATTTTTAACATTATCAGTGGTAATTATGGATATGGCCTTTGCGATTTGTATTGAAACACAACCTGTTGATTTTATTTAACAGGAGTTGCTACGTTTGACTCGTATGGTGTTGTCCATATATTTTCAGAATGCATTATCTCCATTATTAATTCACTTATTACTATGAAATTTTGAATGTAACATTTCGACAACTTTTACTATATAATGCTAAGGCAGTTTTTCTAGAGAGTTTATTATCATATATGTTTTAAATTTTGTAGAAATTTTTGCATGACGTATTTAAAAAAAAATCAATATTTCACTTGTTCATTGAAATTTCCTTCTTTTAGTTCTTTTTCTGGAAGTTGGTAGCTCTTCTAGGGAATTTCTGGTTAGTATTTGGTAAGAGGGTTGGTAGCGAAGTTGGCTTACTTGGTAGAGGGTTGAGATGAGTCGATCACTGTTTGGTAGTTAAAAAAAGGGGAAGTCTTTGTTTAACCAAAATTAATCGTACCGATTGCGACGCCACAGTTTCCCCAACAAGCGCAACTAATTCTTGCTGTTTTTATAATCCAAAACATGCGAATTTTCGACCGACGCTAACACGTGGTGTAAATTTCATTCATTGTTTGTAAATTTACAGATCATGTTAAGATTTCAATCGTTACTGATTCCAACACAATTTAACAGTCGTGAGATTGTTCAGATAAAGCACTTGCTAGAAGATTTCATGAGATTCACTTAGTCAGGACTCATCCTTTTGTTTATCAAGTCATAAATAAGCTTTCTGGATGATTATACTTAAGTGTTACATTATGACACTTCTTAACTCCTCACAGCATATTGCTAATAGTTCATTTACGGTAGTTAAATTAACCTAATGTCGTCCCATTTTGGGAAAAAGGACCGTGGAAACTGCGGTAGAATTCATAATATCGTGGACTGACGGACGGGATTCCTTAAGTAGTTGTCATTCGGACATCACCGAGACGTATTTATGCATTTATTACGTGTTTGTTTGGGATAAGCTGGGGACAGTCCACGATATAAACTCACAAATCTACTTTTTTTTAAGGAACCAGTCACTTGGATGAAGGCATAATTTAACATTATGTAAATTCCTTGTTTAAATCGTTGATAAAGTGTGGCATAATTTAACATCATGTAAATTATTTCTTTGAATTGTTAACACAGAGTGACAATTTAGTTAGATATCTCCAAAATCGCGGGACGGAGACAGGGGACCTATCTTTTCTTACTCTATGGGCCTTGACACGTCAAGAAAAGATGAATATCGTCGTTTGCGGAAAGCCTAGCTTCTTGTTTTGTTCCTTGTCGTTGTTACCTCTTGGAGAAATAATCTTTACATTAAAACCAGTTATTTTCAGAATCTGATTTGTGTAGTCATTCAAAAAATTGTATTTTTATTGGAGCGGGAAGCATTTACCATTAACTGGTATTTTCGAAACGGACACAAGGTAAATAGTGTGTAGGAGCGTCGAGGTTTGGGATAAATTCCGGGAGTAAGTTCCCAATAACATCATCGACCATGGATGATACAATTTCAAATTATGTTGCTCGACCATTATTATTATTATTATTATTATTATTATTAGTATTAATATTCACCCCCACAGTACAACCATTTATTGGGGTAAGATGAATGTATTTAACATTAAAACTAACTTAAATTTAACACCATCATTCAGCCTGTAACAAGCATATATTTTTAATTTTTCTTGAAGTGGTGTTAAAGATGTCGAACATATCCTGGTTTCTGTTGTAATTTTCGCAGATGGTATAAATTGGAGAAAATTTGCGCAGATTAGTGCGAGCTATAAAAATGTAAAATGTGTCATATCTACGCGCATTTACCCTTGGAACTAACAAATTTATACATTTCAATAAATCTCGGCAGTCGATATTTCCAGAGACAATTTTGTATAAGAATATGAACGAAAAATATAAACGTCTTTTCAGTAAACTATTGATGGAAAAGATTTGTAAGAGTTCTTCTTCAGGAAAACCTCTTGGAGGGTAGAAACCAAATTTCTTATAATGTAAAAATTTTAAAAATTTTCTCTGAACTTTTTGGATCATGTGAACATATATCATATATCCTGGGGCCCATATATTACACGCATACTCTAATTTAGTTCTCACAAACGCGAAATACAATGTTGATAATGTTTCACTGTTGCGAAAATTACGACCATTGCGTAAGACAAAGCCGAGAGATTTCGACGCTGACATGATCATTGTTTCTACATGATTGTTGAATGACAATTTCTTGTCAAATATCACTCCTAAATCCTTGACAACGTCAAATCGTTGTAATACTACATCGTCAATCATGTAATCAAACAAGAGGAGTATATGCTTCAAAGAAAATGTCATCACGCCACACTTACCGATATTCAATAAAAGACCGTTTTCCAAACACCAAACTAATAACCTGTGTAGGTCATTTTGCAATGTGAGACAGTCGTCTATGCATCTTATTACTCGAAATATTTTTAAGTCGTCCGCATATAGTAAACAACGACTTTCTAATGAAGATGTTATGTCATTAATAAAAAGGATAAACAAAAGAGGCCCAAGAACTGATCCTTGAGGAACGCCTGATGTTGTATTTATTTCTACCGATTTAAATCCTTTACAGATCACAAACTGCGTTCTACCAAAAAGATACGACTTCATCAAGTCTAATAGACGATCACATAAACCAAAAGAATTTAATTTGTTAATTAACTTAAAATGATCAATCCTATCGAATGCTCTCGAAAAATCGGTGTACACCGTATCCACCTGGTGGCCGGTGTCGATTGTGTCTGATAAAAATTGTGTAAACAAACATAAGTTGGTCTCAGTGGAACGACCCTTAACAAAACCATGTTGCAGTGGTGAGATGTAGGACTGAACATGACGCATAATACTCTTGTGTAGCAAGATCTCGAACACCTTGGAAAAATTGCACAAAAGAGCGATAGGACGATAATTTTCAATTTGTTTTTTATCCCCTTTTTTATAATTATATTGGACAAATAGAGGACTGTTTCCATAGTGAGGGGTACACACCAGAGTTGAGACACATGTTAAAAATAAGCATAAGTGGAGATTTGAAAATATTAGCACAGTCTCTCAGAATAAAAGCTGGAATATAGTCTGGCCCAGATGTAATTTTATTTTTTAGTTTTAAAAGTGCTTGATACACCTCCTCTTCACTATAATGGTAAATGTTTAAATTAGGAAGCGACGGTATGGTATGTACAGCAGAAGCTTGAGATTGAATATATTGCTGTTGAAAAAACTTTGCGAAAGAGTTGACAATTGATAATGGATCATTTAACTCTTTTGAATCATAAGTCATCACTCCTGGTATAACATTTTGAGATCTCAACCTGTGAACAAAGGACCAGAATTGTGTAGGATCTGACTGTATATTACTTTCAGTTTTTTCTAAATATACATTATAGGCATTTTTTATTTCAATTTTGATTTATGATCTTAAAATCTTGAATTTGGAGTATACCGCAGGATCCCTAAACCGTTTATATTTCAACCAAAATTTCCATTTTAGCTTTAGCATTTGTTTTATATTAACAGTGAACCAGGGCGGATATTGTCTTTTATTTAACGCTTTGTCATAGGAACACAAACTTCAAAGATTTTATCTAGTCGGGAATATAACTGCAATGTTGCCTTATTAGGGTCCGTAATGTCTTTCAGAAACGACCAATCAACGTTTAGCAACATGTCATATAAGAGGGCAAAGTCTGCATGTCGAAAATTGTAAGATTTAAAGTTGCCGTTACATATTTTTTTTTCTTTAGATGATAATTTGTGTTTTATAAATATCTCAAGACTGGGATGATGATGATCTTCATCAAGTAAAACATCAGTAGCTTTTGTTACTCTGCATTCAATGTTAGACAAAATTAAATCTAATAGTCGCAAATTAGAATTCCGTACGAAATTATATTGACGATAGCCACTCATCTCTAAGAAATTCAAAAGGGGCTTTAACCTTCCATCACTACCTATTTGATCCATTAAGGAGTCTGAGTATGCCGGAATATTAAAATCACCTAGGATGATTACGTCCCCTTCGAGAGTAAAACAAAGAGCTATTAAGTGTTCAAAAAATACATCAATGTCTTCCACAGATGTTCTTGGACTAGGAGGTACATATGCAACCACTACGTAAAAATTTTGGAAGGAAGAGTTAATTTTGACAACTAGAATATCGATCATTGCCACGGAATCGAAACCTAAATTAGAAATGTCGAGCTTACATGAAGTAAAGGAAGGATTAACTCCTATTAAGACTCCTCCACCTCTTGTACAATTAATACGAGAAAAGTTTCTGTCACTTCTATATATTGTGTAATTACTTGATATTTCTGAGTCTAGAACTGTGTCATTCAGAAACGATTCAGTGAATGCAAATATATCAGAATGGAAAACATTTTAATAATTACAAGGACCTTTCCCTCCTCTAATGAAAAATGCGCCTTGTTTATATGTCATCACTTAAACAGATGAATCAATCTTGATGATGTGGGGAAGATTTATATTAATCCTTTATTTCTGAAGACTTATTCGGTCTTGTTGTCGTTTTCCTCATGTTTATCTGTTTTGAAATCATCTAATCTTTAACCTTTAGTGACACCTTTCAGATAAATCCTGAGGGACAATTAGTGCCAGCACCCCAGGAGTTCAACATAGCACATTTTCTAAAAATTGCGAAATTAAAATATCTCAACCTTAAAAGGAAGATTGTATCTATGTTTTCTAACAAGTTTAAACAAAACCACAAAAAACAAATTTGCACAATCATCATCAACAATCACAATCGCAAAATTTATCAAATATTAAAAACACAACAGAACAACCAAAATTAACCACAATCAAATATTTCTACCATCATGTATAAGTAGCGTATGAATATCAACACAATATTTGTAGTTTCGCGGAAATTCCAAATCCGTTTTGCCGCTCTTGCCAAAGAAGAAACCAACTTATACGTTTTCATCTATTTAAACTGAATTCCAAGGGTCCTTCATCTAGTATCAAAAGAACTTCGTCATGACCGAGTGCTCCTCACGGCCCGTTTGCCACCCCCTCGGCGAACACATAACCCCCTGTATCTTGGTAAAGCAAAACACGCAGTGGTACCCAGAAAACTGTAACTCCATCATCATGGTGAACCCTGCATCTTCGCTTGTTGTCGACGCTAGCCGGTACCCAACCCAACTCCAAGAATATACAGGAAGTCCGCTTCAACTATGGTGCTTTGAGCGCACTGAGACGGGCACCTTCTTGATAAAGAATGTTGGTAATCAGTAAGTAGAAAAATTAAATATTTAGGTGCTTATGCATTATCAATTTTTCATTGTTGTTTGTTAGGAGATATTTGCAAGTAGAGGGCGACGGCACAAATGGTAGACGAATAGTCACTGACGTAAAAAACGGGGGACCGAGTCAGCAGTGGCAGCACCATCATCTTGAGCAGACGATAACAAATTCAGCCAGTGGTAGAGCGTTAGAGATAAACGGGTTTAATTTTACTGCAGGGTCTGTGATACTAATTAATGATAAAAATGCTGGAACTAATCAGAGGTTTTCTCTACAATATAAATAGGTTGATTAAAGACAGCACAAATTCCAACTACGATATATGGAAACAGTTAAATGTCAAAATTCAAACAAATAAATAGTTCTTATACCTGTAATTTTGAAATAGTTAGCTTTGTATTAAATGTGTGAAATCGTGTTTTTTTTAATTGGATGAGAACGTGCATTTTCAGCCCGAGACCGAAGTCGAGAGTTAAAACACAATGTTCAACGTTCTTTTCTTCAAAATGGATTGATGTTTAAAATTAGTTTAAATACTATTGACTACTTTAAAATCTCCAGTGAGGATTTGTGAAGAGTGAATATTATAAGAATTTTTGTAAAACCCCTCCAGAATTTTACAAATCGTTACTAAAATCAATTAAACCTGAATAAATAAATTTCCGCTGCGCGTTTTACGTGAACATTTATATTATTGTTGTAAAATTGCGTTGGAACATGAACGGTTAAAAATCCTGACGTGACCATTTCAGATTAGAAAATCATCAATACGTTGATCGTACCGATTCATCGAATCGGGACACCACACTTCATATACAATAATAGTAATAACTTGAAATATGGAAGTGTTTGGTTAACAGTAATTACAGTGATTGGATAGATCAATTTAATACACACGTACCTCCTACTAATGTCTGCCGGCGGAGTCCATATCTTTGCGGTCAAAATAAAACAGCACAATATCTGGTTCGTTGTCTCAGTTTGGCGGTTTTGTGGCATTGCTATTCTCCCCTCCCACCCCGGACAGGAATGTATAGGTTTTTTGGGGTTAATGACATTTGTGACAGCTCGCTCACTTTTACATGTATTTATTTAAATATTTCAAGTTTAATACTGTTTGAACATATACAGTGCACAACTTTAATAGTATAAAACTAAAGCTGTTTTATTGTAAATACAAAAAAGGCATACATTAATTGATACGTATTTGAATGAAATAATAGCAAATTGCTCGGTGATACACACAAACCTTACAATACCGAAAAATCAGTATGTCACTCTTAGAAAAAATAAAACTCCAAACAACAATACAAAAATATGTTTTCCAAAAATGAGATCTTCACGTCAACGAGAGAGACTTATAGAGAAAACGAATATTACTGACAAAAGCCTTGTATTTATTATCTCTGTCGATTATTCACCACTACGGATCTATCACAAAATGATTCAGTAAACTCATCGTTGAAAAACTTAGGCCTAACAATAATTTGAGTTATTTTTAACGCTACTAGATTAACCATAATCTAATACAAAATTAAATCTTTGATATAGATAAGACTAGGTGAGTGTTGTTAGCTTCATTTTTAATCAAATTTTTAAAACCTGTCAGGGAGACAACATTAATAACCAAAACTTTCCGAAAATGGACACAATACCCACCATAATATTGACTAGTAATTTCACGATGTGGATTAACAATAATTACAAGGGCGTCTCTTTCCTCCAATGAAAACTGTTCGTTTTTGTACTGGGATTCGCGCCGGACGTCGATTTCCTCAGGTTGGCGGCGGCCGTGTCTAAGCCGTTCTTCACGTTCGCCACCAACCGCAGAGCCGGATTCGTCACGATGCCGTTCCTCTTCGGTTTCTGACTGCTAACGACACCCCAGTAAGCACAAAATCGCCACACTCATTTTTTTTGCGCACTGAATACATCTGGTAACACCCGAATCTCTTATACACACATACAAGCTAAGCTTTATTCGCATTTTAAAGATCCACCAACACCGCAACTGAGCAATCACTATTTCGTGTTACCAACCGCATTCGTTGCGCCCAAAAATCCCCGTTGCCACAACCTACCTAGATTTCGAGTTGGACTCGTGACTCTGCTCCTTCTTGTCCTTATTCCCCACCGCCGCCCCACTCGCGTTCCCCAAAATTATCCTCATATGCGTGTCCCTTGCGAAATGCGTATCCGGAGCCTTTGCAAAGTTGTTATGTCGTAAAACCGGTTGATATATATTCATAGCCCCTGTAAACTCTGACATAACCTCAACATTTCTACCCTCTCGGCTCCGCCCACACTTACCGAACATATTCGGGGTGTCGTGAACGGGGCTTAAAGGCGGCGACGCGTAAATGGGGCTCTGAGGCTCGCTTTGCAGAGGAGACAAGAGTTTACTCAGAGGTCTCGTTTTGCCGCCCCTCGAACACTGCTGTAGCTGCTGGGTGAACGACATGGGTTGGGAATTCTGGGTGGTTTCCCGCTGGCGGTCGCCGTGGCGGCTCGAATGACTCGATCCCGTCAGGTTCGAGCTGGACTTGGAATTCGAACTGTGGTTCCCGAGGGACACCATGGATCTGCGCTGTTGCTCACACCAGTCGGCGTTGCCGGGATATAGAACCGCACAAGAAGGTTTGGTTTCCGCGGTTGAAGCTACAATACAATTAATCAAATCTTCCATCGTCCTATTTATATATAATAACATCAAATTACCCGATGTTATCGAGTTGGCACTACTGCTCGTATGCGCCATCTTGTGTGACCTCGCGTTGTACTCCTCCAGGAGACGCACCACGCCTCGGTGGCCCGACTTCGCCGCCACCCTCAACGCGTTCCGCCCGCAGGCGTCCGAATGGTTGGGGTCGGCGCCGTGCTCCAGCAAGGCCACCACACACAGCTCGTGGCCTTCCTGAGCCGCTATACCCAAGGCCGTGGCACCTTGGTTGCACGTGTGGTCAGGGAGGGCGCCGTGTTCCAGCAACAGTTTCACTATGTCGCTGTGACCTTGCCAACTCGCCGAATGGAGGGCTGTGCGGTTTTCGAGGTCACACGCGTCGACCTGGCACTTGCCGTAGGTCAGAAGGAGGGAAACCATCTCGGTGTGGCCTTGCCATGCCGAGACGTGCAGAGGCGTTCGACCCTGTTGAACACAACCATCGGCAAAACCGACTACAAAATCAATGAATTCAAACCTCTAAATCCCGAGTTTCGACATCGGCACCTTGTTGGATGAAGTACTTGGACATGGCCAACCGGTTATCGAGCGCTAACACGTACAAAGTGCTCCTGCCGTCGGCGTCCTTTGAGTCGATGTCGGCTCCGTGCGCTATGAGGAGTTGGACGACTTCGTAGTGACCCTCAAGGGCTGCCAATCTACCAAAATCGATCAATCCCGATTTCTTTGGACTCCATCGAACTTACCTTAAAGCTGTTTTGCCATCATGCGGCCTCTGATCGATCGGTGCGTTATACTTATCTAAGAACATACTAACTAAAGCTGCGTGCCCGCCTTGGGCCGCTAAAGCAAGCGGTGCTTTTCCCTCATTATCAGTCTCATCGATTCTAGCGCCAGCCTCCAGAAGAGCCTCGCAAACGTCTTGATGACCTGCGACCACAAAGTAATCACAATCAGGGTAGTAGTATATTGACATGGGGGTGTGTTTCGACCCAGGTGTGACATTACGGATCTGTGTTGGTTGCGCAGCAGCTCTTCTACGACGAGCGGATCACACAGATAGCCGTAATTACACTCCCTCAGAGGCGAGAGGATTGAGAGGGCTTACGAATTGCATTTACGGTCACTGCCGCGATTATGTTGAGTAACGCAATTCCGTCTATGACGAGCGGATCACGTAGAGAGCCGCATTTCTACGTGACGAGAGACTACCCCGAGCGACGCACTAACGCGTAAACTAGCGCAGTTACATCCGGAATCTGAGGTTCATCATATGTGACTACATATATAACAACAATTGTACAACCCCTACAGTATAAAAAATATATCCTCTGAATTTGTAGAAAATTTTTAATTAATCGTTAACAAAACTTCCATCTATGGTTACAATTCAAAATCTCTCAAGCGAAACACACACACCCCCATGCCCGGTCACGTGGCCTATGACGCGTGCCCTGTATATATACTATTCGGGTGAGTATTTTTGTTTTTAAAAGTCTGAAATTTGTTATTACTACAAACGTACCTTCGAAAGCTGCATAGTGTAACGGCGTCCACCCTGAATTATCCCTGTGCTGCTCGTCCAACCCCCGATCTAGTAACTGCCTGACCACTTCGACGCATCCCTGCGCCGCCGCCACAGACAGCACCGTCCTTCCTTCAGAGTCCATCGAGTCTATGCAACACCCCCAAAACAGCAACAACGCCACCACCGGTGCATGCCCCATGCTCGCCGCCGCCCACAGCGGACTCCTCCCGCTGTGGTCGCAGTGGTCCACGTCCGCTTCATTCTCCAAAAGCAGCTCACACACGTCCTTGTGACCTTTAAAAAGTTTTTAAATTGATGCTACTACCTTCTTTTATATAATAGGTAGTACAGTACTATTACACACCTTCGAAAGAGGCCACCAGCAGCGGCGTCATCCCCTCCTTGTCCTTGTGGTCGACCGTGGCGCATCTTTCGAGCAGCGTCGACACCACGTTTACCCCGGGTGTCCGCGGCGCGCACAGCGCTGCGACGGACAGCGCCGTCCTGCCGTCGGCGTCGGCGTGGTCGACGTCCGCGCCGAAGTCCAGCAGGTGCTCGACGATCTCGCTGTGGCCCATGTAGGCGGCGGCGATGAGCGCGGTGCGACCCTCGTGGTCGGTGAGGTTGACGTCGGCTCCGTTTTGGAGAAGGATCTTGACGATTTCCTCGTGGCCGGACCAGGCGGCGGCACGAAGGGCGGTGCGGTTCTCCGCGTCCACACTGTCCAGGACGCAGCCGTGGTTGACGAGGAGCTCGACGACCTCGGTGTGGCCGCCCCAGGCGGCGGCGCGGAGGGGCGTCCAGCCGTCGACGTCGGCTTGGTCGGCGTTGGCGCCGGCCTCGAGAAGGACCTGGAAGGAGAAGGGAGTTTTATGGACGGAAGTTGCTTTGGTTGCAAGCAATTAAGCTTTCTTTTTATTTCTGAGGGACGTTTTACGATTATGAAAAGATATTCGAGATTGTAAGTTTGGGTAGAAGTGAGCGTCATTGAAGAACCCAAACATGAAATCATAGGATCGTATGTTGTATAAAATAAGCAGAACGCTATTATGATATATTTTAAAGTTTGGGATCTTTCTAGGCTCGAACTTGCGACCCCTGGTTTTACTATTTACTTGCAGTAGTTAAATCTCAAAAACTTCTGTTCGCTGTTGTTCGATAGTTATAGTACTAACTGCTAAACAACTTTTGTTTGATATTTAGATACTATATATTTACGTATTTAATCTGTATAATATTAATTAATAATATCAAACTGTATTTTAAAATATGTTTCTTCTACTGTTTATTTGTAATATTTTTTACACATAGCACTACTTTCTTCAGTAATATTCTTGTCTTATAAAAAAATCTCTTTCACCAATACATTTATTGATCGTTTTTATTTGTTGTAGTGGTAAATAAAACGTTTCTATTAGAATTACACAACAAAAAATATGGGGTAAACTGTAATCGTCATCTATACATAAAACCATTGAAAAACTATTTAGTGAAGCAATAGACAAAAGCTAATAAAAATGAAATATAATTTCCCTGACGGTACTTAATCTACCTCTAAATTTTTCCAGACTTTCGTTACTTCATTGAAGTGCCGATAATTTGTATCAGTCTACTTGCAACGATCCGATAATGAAAACCTGTATTTTCCTTTTTCTATTAATCTGGGTATCTAGGGTAAAAAATCAACACAGTTTCATAAAACACAAGTGCAGGAGTATCGCATTTTATAAAATTTAAATACGATTTGCTATTGTAAATTTTGGAGATGAACGTCATCCCGTTGTTTAGTGGGGATGATTTGCCAAATTTTGGTTAGCGTTTTACCATCTGCACGAAATTCCTAACAATTTGACAACAATCGATAGTTTCGGACATTTTCCGTTAAAAAAACGACACAGGCAGATAGACAACTGACACACGGAAACGGGAAACCTACTTTTCATACTCTAGGGGTCCTGAAACGTCTCGAAAAGTTAAAAGTATTCAGTCACTTTTTAGACTCGATTACAATACTTCCTTAACTAACGCTCGGGAAGTAGTAATATGGACAACATCTAACCTTAGAGCGTACTTTTTTCCTGAATTTATTCAAAGTTTTTATTTAGAATTTAGATCGCGATAATGTGGAAATAAAATAACACATGGACGGCTTAAAAAATGGGGCATCTCAAATATTTCCAAGAAAAATCAAGAATTCAATGTTGCGGACGTTATTATCAAAGAATAAAATTGTTTTCACTCTATTTGTTATTTCCTTAATAATCTTGTTCCCTAAAAATTCTCTTCCACCAGTCCAATTTATTGATTGCTTTTATCCATCTGTCCGCGTAATAAATAAAATTTTTCTATTAAAATTACACAAAAAATGCACGTACTACACTATACCAGACACGCTTGTTCAAAATCACGGCAGATTCATAAACCACAAGTACAGGAGGTTGCTTATTATATAAAATTTAAATAATAATAATAATCTTGACATGACGTCATCACATTTACTTAGTCAGAAAGGGGGTATCCTTCTCATAACAGTGACCTGTACAAAGTTTAAAATTTTAACGCAATTTTTAATTAGATGTCTACCAGGAAATATATCAGTTTCACCAACAATTCGTTACAACACGAAATTAACATAAATAGCAATATTTTCACACGCTTTTCTGGTTTTATAAAATGTTCTGCAACTAATCTGAAGTTTCTATTCTGCGCTTAAAAATTAATTCGTGGAAATGACATTCTGACATGTTATTATTATCTCTCCCAGCATGCAAATCTTCTTACAATCTTGGAAAATACTTAAATAAGAATAAAACCAGGAACATAGGAAAATTTTAGATCTGAAAACAAATTACATCGAAAAAGATATTTATTTTAAGTCATTTGGGTGCAGAACCTTTAATTATTATTACTTTTCATTGCTGTAATGACAGAATAAAAACTGCTATGGATGAAAAAATTGCGACCATCGTGAAAAAAGAATTTTTCCGAACAAACTGACATGCGTCGATTTATTAAATAAAAGTGCACGAAAATACTTAGTTAAGCAATAGATAAAAGCTAAGGCTAATTAATCTCACTGACAGCTTTTATTTAATGCCAAAGTTTTCCCAAACTTTGTAAAGCCAACCGGACAATAAGCATCATACAGTCAGTCCATTTGGAACGGTCCAAAAATGAAAACCTATACCTTATTTTTGGTGATTTTAATCTCATAGTATCTCACTGTTGACGCAGAATTAAAAATCGGGATTTCAAAACAAGAAAATTTCAAGATTTTTGCAAATATCAATAACGAATCCACTGAATTTACAACGAAAGTAGGACTAAAACAAGGATGTGTATTTGGTCCAATATTATTCTTAATTATCTTACACGACGCTATAGAAAAAGTGTAAAAGTGGAATTCTGAAAGATGAAGACCATAAAACTCCTAGTAAAACCATTAATTGCCGATGATATGGTGATTGTAGCCGAATCAGAAAAAGATTTGCAACAAAAATATAATCAAATACCATACAAAGACAGGAAAAATAAACATGAAAATAAGTGTAGTGATTTTACAATCATAGGACATCTGCGGAATAGACAAAGTGACATAGGATAAGAATTTATCCAAGGAATAGTAATTAATAACAACATTCTCCGACATGATTTTCATAACGGATTTGAAACTGGTTACTCTAATTTTTCGTTCAGAATGTGTAGATCTGCATCATTCTCTCGTTTCTTGAGATTTATCAAAATAAACAACGTAACCTCCAAAAAGTTGACCCACGATGCTTGCATGTACATAAATGGCTTTTTTCACCAACATTGATTTATAATATTAGATACTAATCATTCTAATAACTTTGATAAAATATCGAAAAACAGCCTGAAAAAGTCGTATTAGAACCGCTAGCCCACATTATTTATTATTAACCTTGGCTACTTCACCGAACTCAAGCTGTCGATTACCATTGCGAAGAGGATAGAAAAATATCAAGGAAGAACCTCTGCATCAGAGAAAAATTACATTGATAAGGTTATTGTTTATTAAGAAATAAAGAAAGAAGTGTAGCAGTCGGTAGAAAAACTTACGGAAGCTTACGGAAGAGAGTCGTGTACCCTTAGAACGAGACACATAAGTACACTCAAAGCACAAAAGGATTGGAAAAGAATAGTTAAAGGTACAACACAACAACTACATATTGTAATGTGTAAGTCCTACTCCAAAAAGAGTTAAAAGGACTATCGATTAAATAATAAATAGTAAAAAAAAAAAATCTGGACACTTCACGTGAAACCTAGGACACAGAAGTTGCTAAGTTAAGCAATAGGCACATCAAATAATTTATTAACTCTATTTGAAAAGCTTTTATTTAATGTCAAAGTTTCCCAACATTAGAGAAGTAAGTAATAGAATCGCAAATTCAATAGCATCAGTCAGTTCCTTTGCTAACGTTTAAAAATGAAAATCTATACTTTATTTCTGATGATATTCACTGCTATATACAACATTGTTGAATGCAAATTAAAAATAGCGTCTCCAAGTAAAGAATTTAAAATTTTTGCAAACATAAATGATATTATTTTTGCAACGAGCTCAACGTTTGAAGGACACGAATTTCTATTTGACACTCCAAACCCCAGACGCGTAGTCAATTTTAAAGAAAATATTCATCAGGTATATAAAAGCTTCTGCCAAAACTATAACTACGTAATTATAGAGGATAACTATACATATTTTGAGAACACGATCCTCAGTCTACACCACGACGACAATTTGAAAGTTAACGGAAAATATCTCTTAATAATCAAAAGAGTCCAAACCCACGAAGTTAAACATTATTTTCAACTCCTGTGGGGTCACGACATCTATAACGTCATCCTCCACACTAACTCGTCTTTCTTCACTTGGTATCCTTATGAAAAGTGTGGACATATGGTAGTTCGGAAAACCACTCCACTGGAAGGTTTTTTGAACAAGATCCCCAAAAGACTCAACTGTCCTTTAGGAATCAGTTGGAAATACTCTCCTGCCAATGTTCTGGATCCATTCGACAAATCAAATCCTGGAATCTTTGTTCTTTATGCCGATCTTTTGACGAAGGCAATGGGATCTCGATCTGCGTATCTACCAAATTCTGAAGATCTCCAGAATATGATGTTAGCAAATCAATCGTTTGATATCAGTAGACACATGAAGGAAAAAAATGCGACTCTAGCCATTGGTGGTTTTCCTTCGCAGTTTCGTCCGGACCTCAAAATCACATTTGAAAATACGCACTTCGTACAACAATCAGAGTTTTTGCTGGTGATGCCACCAAAGAGAGTGAAACCAAAGTGGAGGGAATTTATCAAAAGTGACATCACCACTCTGGTTTTGATACCAACGACGTTGATCATCTGCGGAATCTTGATATTTTCAAAATCAAACATTTCGTTAGAAGATTCGATTTTTCTCTCCTGGCAAATCTTCATACAGCTGAGTATACCAGTAGATCCCCGGAAAGTAAAAGCACGAATTTTTCTTGTTCTCATGTTGTTTTCGATGTTGATTAATTTCTACTATTTGATTACATTAAGCAGTGTTTTTACGGAACCTAATTATGACGGAAAAACCAGAAGTGTGAAAGATTTCGCCACATCAAATATTCCAGTACGATGTAGTGAACCCATTTTGGACTTGGTGATTCGACAGCAGGATGAAGAAACGAAAAAACTAATACGAAAAAAGTTTATCACAAGCAAAATTGCCCTTGTGAAACAAATGAAGTATCTTGATATAAGTAACACAGCTCAAGTTCAAGTGAAATTCGATTTGATATCGGTGTTCAAAAATCCTGAGGTTATAGAAAAAGTCCAAGTA